CTTACCATCACAGGAATAAGCTAATAAATGTTCATTTTCTTTTTTAGAATCTGCGCTTAATTCTTCCTCCAAATACATCTTCGGAGGTGGAGGTGAAAAATCCAAGTGTACGATTTGAATAGTACCCTGCGTTGCGGGTGGTGGTGACTCACAGTCGGGAAACGTTTTAGCAGTGTTGTGATAATATAATATCTGGCTACAACTTACATCTTTCGCTTCCCCCATCGCAGTATTGGAATAGTCGCATCGCTAGATAGTAAATCGGCTGATGTTAGCAAGTTCTATTCCAACTTTTTAGCTTCCAGTTAATCCTCTAAAAATGCGTACTGATCACTTGGTCATTAGCCTCACCTGTATTCCTCCTGCGTATTTGTACTTTGTACGTCACAGCCGACGCAGGTGGTGGCAGGCGGTGCATCAGGAAATCCTGTAATTGTTTTACTGACAACCATGTGAAAAGTGGCCCTCCGTGCATCAAAAAGTCAAGATATGGGCCTCGATCAGAAATTCATTATTCATAGGATGAAACTCATTTTATATATCGAGTCAATTAGAATCACTCACAGATGTAGAACAAATCTCCTTCCTATTACATTCTTGACCAGCGTTCGAGCTTCGTTCAATGTCGATCCAAATCAATTGCATGCTATCCTTCAGTTCGCTTCTGCAGCAATCGACCAGCTTTCAGATTGTTGGCCCAAAATCATTAAGATCGACCGATCGCTAAGTGACCGGCATCTCAGTGTAGTATCTTACCATCACATCCTTCCTTTTTTCGTTTTTTTTTGTAGTCCGATTGCGTAAGCGCTGTATCGCCTTCCACTGCGTGTAGTCTTGTGGTCGTGTGCTGCCGTATCCACCGAAATGTCCGGCTGCGTTGGCTGCTTCGCACGATGCCGTGCTTGTTCACCACGTTGTCTCCTTAACTGCACCCGGTTGCGTCGAAATAGACTATCCCCAACTCTTACGTCGTAGCTTCGTTCGCCTTTGAGACCTTCTACTCGCCCTCTCCTCCAAGACCCGTTAGCTCCCGGTGTCGGCGCGACCCAGACCTCGTCTCCGGGCAACAGGCGTGGAAGCTGCTTCGTTCCGCGATCGTAATATTTCTTTTGTCGAAGCATGCGCTCACGCAAACGCTCATACATCAAGCTCTGCGATGGTATTTCAGGCTGCAGCAGAGTATTGGCGATCGGCAACAGGGTTCTTGTCCTACGGCCAAACAGACGTTGCGCTGGACTGCATCCAATTTCGGCAGATGGCATGTTCCTTCGTTCTAACAACATGATGTAAGGATCTTCTTTGGTCTCCTTGGCTTTGGTGAGTAACTTCTTTGCTTCCTTCACGGCTGACTCAGCTTTTCCATTTGACTGACTGTGGTAAGGGCTGGTTAAACGATGAAGGAAATCCCACTTTTCGCTGAAACTCCGAAATTCGGCGCTGTTGAATTGGGGGCCATTGTCGGACACTACCTCTTCCGGTATCCCATGTCGCGCAAACTGCGATCGTAGCTTGTTTATCACGGCCTGTGTGCTAGTAGACGTGAGAGCATCAATCTCGAAATAGTCGCTAAAGTAATCGACAGCGATCAGGTAATTCTTTCCGTCATGTGCAAAGATGTCTAGGGCGACTTTCTGCCACGGCCTTTCCGGGACCTCACGAAGCATCATAGGCTCCTTCGGCTGGCGGACATCATGTGCTCGACAGGCTAAGCAGTTTGAAACATGATCCCGTATCTGACTAGTCATTCCAGGCCAAAACATTAGCTCTCGAGCTCTCGCCACGCAAGCATTGACTCCTGAATGACTTCCGTGTATCAGCTCCAGCATGGGTCGTTGCATTGCTTTTGGAACGAGTATACGGTTGCCTTTGAAGATTAGCCCATCCTGTGTGACAAGTTCATCCCGAAAGTTAAAGAAGGGAGTCAACTCCTTTGGCAGCTTGTTTTTACTATCGGGCCACCCTTTCAGTATCGTTTCCTTGAGCCGATTACACAGCTCGTCTGCTTCCGTGTGGCGTAGTAGTTGCTGGAAACGCTCCTCTGTGACGGCCAATAGCTGAGTGACATGGACAATGTCTTGGTCTTCTTGCGTTGCGGTCACATCGGAAAGATATGCCCTAGACAGTGTGTCTGCAATGTACATCCTCGACCCCGGTTGGTAGACGATGTCTAGGTCGTACTTCTGGAGCCGAATGAGCATTCGTTGTAAGCGGCGTGGGACGACGTGCAGTGGTTTATTGGCTATTGATACCAGAGGCTTGTGATCGGTAAATACAGTGGTCCGGCGACCAAAAGTGTAATCGTTGAAACGCTCTACGGCATAAACCAATGCTAGCATCTCCTTTTCAATCTGTGCATAACGGCGCTCGGATTCCGTTAGTGTCCGACTGCGAAAATCGATGGGCTTCCCGTTCTGCATTAGCACGGCACCGATACCGAATTGGCTGCTGTCACACTGGATCTCAAGGGGAAGTGACGGATCGTAATACGCTAGGACAGGGGCGCACGCGATCAGTTGTTTGATGTTCTGGAAAGCCTCCTCCTGTTCTGTGTTCCACTGCCAGCTCTCGCCCTTATGTGTAAGTTTTCGGATAGGAACCATTACTTCGGCTAGTCGTGGAGGGAAGCGGCTGAGGTAATTCACCATCCCGTTTAGTCTGCTCACGGCTTTAACATCTGTCGGAGGTGGCATCTCTTTTATGGCTCTAACTTTCTCCGGATCTGGCTTTAGACCTTCTGCGCTCAAAACATGTCCGTGGAACACCAGCTCTGTTTTTCGTAACTCAATTTTCTCACGTTTCAATCTGATATTCTTGTCTTTACAGCGTTCTAGAAATCTGCTCAGGTTACGGTCGTGCTCTTCCAGAGTCGCCCCAAAAACCACTACATCGTCTGCTACACAAATAGCTCCGGGTAGATCGTCTAGGGCCTGCATTAATCGTTTCTGAAAAATTTCACTGGACACTTTCAAACCGAATGGTAAGCGCAACCACCGAAACCGTCCAAATGGCGTTCCGAACGTGGTTAAATAACTGGACTCTTCGTCAAGCTGGACGTGCCAGAAAGCGGAAGCGAGGTCGACCTTCGTGAACAATCTGGCCTTGGACAACTCGGGTAAGACGTCATCTAGCGTTGGTAGTGTAAAATACTCTCTCCTGAGTGCGGCGTTGAGCGGCTTAGGGTCGATGCACACACGCAAATCGCCTGACTTCTTGGTGATTATCGCGACTTGACTGACCCAATCGGTTGGCTCATCGACCTTGGCAATCACACCTAAACTGATCAAACGCTGCAACTCGTCTAAGAACTTCTCACGCGAAGCGATAGGTACTTTTCTCGCTGGTAGTGCTACTGGTCTAGCGGACTCGTTTAACGACAGGTGAGCTACGCCTTGGAATTTTCCCACGGTACCATCAAACACACTGGGATAGTTGTCTACGATCTCTGTACCGACTTCGCACGAGTGAACAAAACGATCATGATTAAAAGAAACGAAACCCAAACTCTGAATGGAATCAAGGCCCAGGATGGGCATTAAATCTCCTGATACCAGGAGAAAATCAAGTAAATGCTCGGAGCCATCCTTCGGGTTTATGGCCTTCATGGTAACGCAGCCCTTCGGTTGTAACTTTGATCCGTTCCACATTCTGAGCTGTGTCTGTATTTGGCGGTATTCTGCATCGGGACAGTATTTGTGAGGAAGTATGTTCACGCTTGCTCCTGAATCCAATTGGAATCGCACCGGACGCCCTTGAATAAGCAACGTTGCGAATACACAGACTGGTCTCTCACGTCCTGTCATGTTGTTAATAGCCAGTTCCTGCGGCTCTTCCTGATCGTCCTGCCCGACTGAGTCGACTTTGGTTGCCTGACAACAACGTGCAAAGTGGTTCTTCTTCGCACACTTCATACAGGTTCGGCCCCATGCTGGACAATCCTCTTTGCGCCTTGGGTGTGAGCGGCCGCAAAACTGGCATTTGGGTTGATTCGCGCTCGATGACTTCGATACAATTTCTCGGCCTCGGGATACTGCAAACAGATCCGTCGTGGACTCCATCTTGAGCTGCTGAAACTGTTGAGCCGTCCTTGATTCGCTAAAACAGGTATCGATGCAATGTTCCAAAGACAGGTTTCGCTGTCGCAAAAGGCGTCTGGAAAGTTCCTCATTCTTTATGCCAATTATAATTCGATCGCGGATCAGCGAATCTCGTAAACAGGTGCAAAAATTGCAATCCCGCGCCCGAATTTTCAGCTCCGTGATGTATGCGTCGATTGATTCACCCGGCAGGCGATTTCGGCTGAAAAACAGATACCTTTGGTAAGTTTCGTTTGTGTAACCTTCGCAAAACTCGCCGAATCTGCGTATTACTTCATCCAGCTCCATCTCCTGAGTTCCATCGCTGAGATCCAACGTTTGCAGCGTCCGCCTGGCTTCGTCTCCAATGGCATGCCTGAACATCGCCAGTTGATAGGCCATTGGCTGAGAATCCAACTGAGTCAGTGTTACAAAGTCTAGCCACTTCGCCTTCCATATTCTCCAATTCTCCGGCAACGAACTCTCGGTCATTTGCAACGGAGCTGGCAGCGGAATCGTTGGTTGTCCACCAAACGCATGCGGGGTTCGGCGTGTCTTCTTGTCCTCTGTCGCCATGTAAAAAGTGGCCCTCCGTGCATCAAAAAATCAAGATATGGGCCTCGATCAGAAATTCATTATTCATAGGATGAAACTCATTTTATATATCGAGTCAATTAGAATCACTCACAGATGTAGAACAAATCTCCTTCCTATTACTTTCTTGTCCAGCGTTCGAGCTTCATTCATGTCTATCTAAATCGATCACGTACTACCCTTCAGTTCGCTTCTGCATCGATCGACCAGCTTTCAGAGTGTTGGCACAAAATCATTAAGATCGACCGATCGCTAAGTGACCGGCATCTCAGTGTAGTATCTTACCATCACAGTTAGTTGTTCTATCTAAAGGGAGTGTATCCTTCAGGTGCACAAGTGTGGACCGTAGCGTTCGACCCTTCTGGAAAACTACCCTTATCTTCTCCTTATTCAATACTCTCCGAATCGCTTCTGAAGTTCCTTCTTTATACGGAATACCAACTGTCGCTATCCACTCTGCGGTTGGAGTTGCGCGTGGGTTGAGACATTTCTTTAGCTGTCGTTTCACCAATCGTTTCGGATATCCGCTAGCTATTAAGGTTTTCATTGCTTCCCTCTGCGCTGCTTTCTTATCTTCTTCCTCCGTGCACAGAGCTCTTGCTCTGTGAAATAGTGATGAGGCGATTCCCGCGTACACGTGCTTTGGGTGGCTTGAACTATAGCTGAGTACCCCATCTGTGTCCATTGGTTTGCGATACATCGTTGTCTTTAACGTTCCTTCCTATGTACCAGACAATCAAGGAACGGAAGTGTACCGCTCTGCGACTCAAGTTCCATGGTGAACTTTATCGCATTGTCAATAGAGTTCAAATAGTTTAAAAATTCTTCCTTTTTATCCCTTTTTATAATCGCAAAAGTGTCATCCACGTAGCGCCACCATACTTTCAGGGCACCACGGAAATTGGGTAATGCTTTATTTTCAAAATCTTCCATGTATATATTTGCTAATACGGGGGATATTGGAGATCCCATGGCCAGACCCTGTTCTTGAGTGTACATTCTAGACTGAAATGTGAAATGAGTCATGTCGAGACACAAAGCTATCCCCTCGACCACTTGATCCACTGTCAGCTTTGTTCTGTCCTCCAAGCTGCTGTCACCTCTCAAACAGTTTTTCGCTAATCGTAACGCTTCCTCCTTGGGTACATTCGTGAACAAGGAGGTAACATCGAAGCTGACCATCAATTCGTCTTGTTCGATGCTCACCCCTTTGACCTTTGACCGTTGTAATCATTCATAGATGAACTGCAAATTGATTTGTCTTTGTATGTAGTTTAGCCATGATCGCTATAAAATGCCAATGTTTAGATAATTCACTTCGCCTGATGAAGCATTTGTGTCAAATGCGAAACGTTGTGTATCACCATAAATACATTAACCGGTCGTTTACCAAGTTTTCTGAAATGATGACTTCCCGATCGGTTCCAAATATGTTCCAATATATTGAGGACTGTCATTAATCTTTTTTGATTGACTCTGAAGGCCGGACGTTCCCGTTGATTGGCTGTGGCTGTTCTACATATTCTTCGATTGTCCCACAATTGGCCGACTCCAAGAGTCACCGATCCAACCTTTATTTGGACTGCAGTTGTGCATTGGACTTAAATTGTTCCTTTTAGTTATGTCTTACGACAGAATGTTTTTCGCATTGAGTTCTAGTGCATTTGTAATTTCCTCTCTGGTCAGGCTGGTACCATAATTTGTGGCGACTATCTATTCGCGGACGTACTGTTCCGCGCGCTTCGGGTATTGTTGCTATGTCCGCATAACTACGCGAAATTTGCATAGGGTTCACTTGAGCTCATCTCAGCAATGTCCTCATCATGCGGCGGCTCAAATTACGGATGTAACATTTGAGTCCAGAGTTTGCTAAGTATTGAATCATCTAAGCAGAGAAACCGACAAGTGACTACATTTGTCGAAGAACTTGAGATCATGTATGATCGCCAAGCTCTAGATGTGCTTCATCAGATGTAGTAGTGTGCTTTGAGATAACCGCTTTCAGCTTCTTAGAGTGATTCAGTTGTCACAGTATTGAGAATATTGATGACTTCTGTAGCCACGCCAGTGAGCAAGGGAGCCATAACATGACTGCGGAATAATCTTGCGAAAACGGAAGATGGATACCATTTGAATA